TGGTTCCGTTTGCGTCTTAGATCGTTGATTCAGTTTATTGCATACACATAAAATGATTGCTATCTTCACCACAACAACTGCAAACAAATAAATATTAATAATTAATTAATTAACTTCTGTATTTTTTAATACAACTTCACAACGATGAGAGTACTGGAAGAACTTACCAACAACAATAACGAAAACTGCACCACCATCGGCCATAATGTTTGAAGATTAACACGAAAGGCTTCGCCTTTTAGGATTCAAGAATGTATACAGAACCAAAGAGTTGTTTTGTTTACATGGACGTTTCAGATAAGGGGTTTAATTTATTGTTTTTATTATTTGTCACTAAGACTATAAATCCATAGAATAATGATCATGTTAAAGTAGTACTTGGTGTTTAAGAATTTGTACATTGCAGTCGGTTTAGAGTGTATGGAACTTGGGTGAGTAGACAACAATCGGCTACAATTAATGCCAACCGCATATGATCGAAAATGACGTTCAGTGTTTACTTCACGAAATTTTGTTAACGTTGTGATAGTCTAATTTTTGTGTGTTGATTGGTTGAAATGTGTTCTATCATATTATTCTTGTAGTAATAAATCTCATTCTCTAATTTACTTAATCATCATCACGCATGTATGAACTACATAATACACAACAAGACTGTTTCCTAGTACAAGATTCTGGAACACAAAAGACGTCCCCACTCTATGGCATCCCAATTCAATTCTTGAATCTTTATTAATAGTTTTATTTGCACACAACTTTGATTACACACAGCTTTATGGCATAATTGATTGGATCTGTTAATTCTGAATATCAAAATAATTATGTTAATTCTTTGATTATGATTTATATGTGTCTTCACAACGTATGATTCTATGTGTATGTGTTTTATTCTTCACGGCATACCCGCGTATGAACTTTGAAACTTGGTGGGATAAAGAAGGAAAGCATGATTCAGTGTCTAGGAATGAGCATGATCAGCACCTAAAAAAGCTATGTACTAATTAAAATTTATAAATATTATATATTTAAATTAGGGACATAATTGTCAACTAACTATAAATTAAATATGGATAAAGAAAATGTTTGTGGAAGAATAAGCGTTTCACATAAAGATGATAATTATGTTTGAGTTGCCAAGTCAAATGAAGCCATAAGACAAACGTAATAAATGAAGAGTAGCTTTCGATGAGGAAATTACATGGGAAAGTTCTAATAATCTTTGGTGTTGGATGGGTTCAATGCCGGTCCTATTGTTTGTTTTTCATGACAGGGACGAAAAAATATAATATGATGCTACAAACCCATTTTTATTTCATATAACTACTATCACAAAACAATGACATAATTTTCTAAAACAAAAAGGTTACACAAGTTATTTATTAAAGAAATAACCATATTCAATAGAAAGTAAACTTGCAAATTTCACCTAAGAAGATGTTTTCGTGTTGTTAAAGCAAAAACATCAAAAAAAAAAAAAAATTAGAACGGAGAAATTTAGTGAAATTAGAAAACCAACAGGATATATATGAACCAAAACAAAGTATTTTACAAAGGTGTCAATATAAACAAAAGATAAGCTAAAACAACTCTAGAAAAACATTGTAATTCACAAGCAATGCACGAATACAGTAGGAGACAATTCACAGTCAAAGATCAAACAATCATAATCGTTGCGAAACTCACAATAACAAGGTACTTTGCAATATTATGCATTGATAAACAAACCAAGCCCCTAACACCCTTTAGAGATAAGAAGAATGGTAGACAGAACTGGAACAATATACATCTAAGCAATCAGCACCAATGAAATCTCACTTGCATCACCAAAAAGGAAATGAACTCTATGGACAAAACCCAAAATAGCAAAGATTGTATGTTTATTTTGCAACATCGGACCCACAAGCACTAGAGGTTGTCCATCGTTTTCTGTATTGACACAAATTTTGCACACATGAGCATTTCCAGCAGTGAAAAACCGAGTCAAAACTAGCATAAGAGCTTTAAATAGCAACTACCAACATGCGCGACAAACAAACAAACAAAAAAAAATTATGGAAAAGATGAAACAAAAACGCTACTAATAAGTGATTGTCCACAAGCAATGCACTTTGGACAATTCCATTATCCTAAACATCAATGAGCTATGAAAACCCCGGGCAGCGATCAATCACCCACATCCCAAAACACAGAAGAAGAAAAAAAAAAAAAAAAAAAAAAAAAAAAAAACAATAAATCACAATCGAATAAGTTAGCCTTTAGAGGCTTTGAGCAAAAAATTGAAATTTTATATTTTTAAAATAAACCTCACTTATATCATTATATAATAATGTAACAAACAGAAACAGCCGATTTACATATCATATGCATTTAAAAACTGAAAAATAAATAAAAACCATGTCTTTAAGTTATAAAATTTGGAACGAGGATTGGCAATAAACAATGGCCTTTAATTTAGGGCTTTAAAAAGGAAACAAGGAAGGTCGTCTTAGATAGACGGCTTGGGCTTGTCGTTGGTTGACACCAAGTAAAAGGAGCACCAGACAACAACGCCGGTAATTAGGGCTGACCCTGGATGGATTGTCTGTTGGATTTTTTATATCAACGTTTATCAGGTATTTTAACTTCTAATAAATAGGAATTTCCTGTAAAGTCACTCTAATTGTAGGATAATATATAAACATGTTCGAAAATCACAATTTACAAGAAATTGGAGAAGTATGACAATCAAGGAAATCATTTGTATTACTCCTTATCCCATTTCCAACTAAGTGTGACTGTAATGATGAACTACAAGTCTACAATACTTCAAAATGTCTCCTTTCAACAAGCGTGGCGATAGTGATGAGCTACAATACTATGTTTCAACTAAAAGATAATCGAGGAAGAAGCTTCAAGGTTTGCCCTAACTACCTATAACGTAAAAAAAATTAATTTTCTTCATTAAGTTAGTAAATGTTTGTTTTTATCTAAGGCTATAACGGTCAAAATGTTAACAGGGTCCAAAAAAGGATGTGAATATTTCAAGTGGCTTGGTACACCATCACCAAAGGGGAGTTGTATAATGAAATTGTTATCAGGTGAACTTTAAGTGGAGATACAAGTTTTGATGCATAATGTACAAATAGGGGTGACAAATCGGGTCATCGTATCGTGTTTTTGCCTGACACAACACGACACGACAAGATTTTATATAACACAAACACGACACGAAATGATGTCGTCTTTTTTTTAACTAACACGAAACCGAAACGATTAAAAAACGATAAACACAACATGGCACGATAAATATAACATAATAAAAAAATTTATTTTATTTAATTAATATTTAATCATACATAACACGAACAACACGACAAATAAATGCTAATCGTGTCCATTTCGTGTCAAATTTTAAACACGAATACGAAACGATACGACATCGTGTTTTTTACACTTAACACGAACACGAACACGAATTCGAATTTCAGTTTCGTCCCAATTTCGTTTCGTCTCGTGTATTTTTGTCATATCGTGCCAACAATTTTCACCCCTATATACAAGTGATTATTGCATGAGTTGAAAATGATGTATACGCGTTAGTATTGCATGAGTTGAAAATGATATATACGTGTTAGTGAAGCCCATGTATATATCATTTTCAACTCATGCAATCACTTGTACATTATGCATCAAAACTTGTACCAAATCAATTTTGTATGTTATTTAATCAATTTTTAAATTATTTTGTATAATTTTAATATTATATAAAGTAGTTTTGTATATTTTTTTATTAGTTTGTGTTTAGTTTAAATAAAAAATTAAGTGGGTTGAATGGATTGGAAAATATAAAATTTAAATATGTTGTGGGTTGAAAAAGATGAAAGAGAAAGGAGAAAGAAATACTAAGGTGATGCTGATTTGGCAATGAATTGAATGAGTTGGGAGGAAATGATTCTCTAGTGTTAAAAGTACCCATGAGAATTGGTTAAGAATTTTGAACCCAACCATTGTCCATAACGAGTTCAAATAAGCCCATGACTGATTACTCAATGTCGATCTTAACATTTAGAGATCCAACTTTTTTTTTTTAAACCGATAAATACAAATATATAATCTACTCTTAAATTAACACCTAATCAACGACAGGATTTGCACCATAGATCTCATAGAGTGAAGGCACCACATGATACCTAATTAAAGTTTTACTATGGTTAAGGGCATGGTTATGTAGGCCTAGTTATGGTTATCCCCGATTGTAACGTTTTAAGTAAAATACTTTCAAATAATTTACAAAAAGTAGTTAAAAGGGCATGGGCTTATAAGCGTTTTCCTATGCTCGCTTACAATGTGGTTAAAGATTTTCTTGACTAGGCTCGCTTAAGGCATTTACCGGAGGCCTGGTTAGTTAGTTAGTTTTTTTTTTTAAAAGGCAAATCTACTCTATTCTACTTCTGCAATTCTCCTGAATCTCCACCTATGTTCCTCACGGGACTTGAACCCTCGACCTCAAGAAGGGAGGGCAACACCTGATACCGCTGGACTAGAAGCCCTTTGGTGGAGGCCTGATTAGTGATTTTATGATTGGGCCTGTAATCACTATAAGCTCGTCACACCTTATTTTACCTTGTGCATTAGGTTTAACGAGGTATGGTTAGACGATCTCGACCCAACTTACATGTTCACTTGCTCAGATACTAAAAAATAACTTCTTTTAACATCCTACATAAAAGAGAACCACATTATCCACTTTTCAGCCCTAATTTATAAGCTAGCAATGATATAGTTCCATATGCATTTTTAACTTTTTTATATTTTGCTCTTATGTAGTATAAAAGAGGTACACCTTTAACGTCAAATTAAACAAGCACACATTTGATTCTAAAACGATGAGAGATTTAGTTGTTGATTCGGATATCCAAAACATCCTTCATTATAAAACAAAACAAAAGATAACGTTACATTTATTTTCTTCCAGATCTATTTGGTTGTCCTTCTATACATTAATACATAGTTCAGTATAATTAGTCCGATGCCATTGTGATCTCATGTCTCCTCATCAAAGGTGTACCTGCAACTACAGTAGACTTGGTGTTAACATCAGACGAAGACCAATCAGAACCACCACCATTCCAAGCCAATCGAGCCAAAGAATCATCAGCTTCATTAACACCCGAGAACAGATACGAAAACGGATTTAAAGGCTCCGGCACCGGTAATGCACCTTCCAACATTTTCACAACGATGCTCATCACAGGCCGAGTCTCCGGTCTATACTGAACGCAGCAAAGAGCTACCTTAAGCATCCTCTCAACAGCTTCATGATCCTTCTCTTCAATCGCACAAACTATCATCAAATCTTTCAACTCTTTCCTTTCGTATTTCCCCCACACCCATATTGGAAACCATTGTTGACTATCTGCAAGTCTCACGTCCATGTTCCTCCTTCTTCCGATGATCTCAAAGAGTAGCATACCGAAACTATAAACATCACATTTGTGTGAAACAGGAAGAGGAAACCAGAGCTCTGGGGCGGCGTATCCAGGAGTACCACGTCCTCCGGTCATGGTTATATGAGTGTTATCCCTGTTGCAGAGTTTAGCTAAACCGAAATCCGCCACTTTTGCACAAAACTTTGAATCCAAAAGTATGTTTCCTGGTTTGATATCATAATGAACGATTCTTTGAGGACATTCTTCATGCAAGTAAGCGATACCTCTTGCAGTTCCCAGACCAATCTCGTAGAGCTGCTCAAACCCTATAATCGGTCCTTTGCTTGCTTTAAACAAGTGATTATCCAGGGAGCCGTTGACCATAAATTCGTACACAAGAGCTCTTAAACTTGACTCGAAGCAAAACCCATAAAGCCTGACGAGATTAAAGTGATGGGTTCTTCCCATTGTGCTTACTTCCGCCATGAATTGTTCTTCAATTCTCTTGTCGGAGGTTCCGTTTAGTACTTTCACGGCGACAGCTGTACCGTTGCTGAAAAGACCCTTGTAAACTGTCCCGAACCCACCTGAACCCAATAAGATACTGAAGTTTTCTGTTGCTATTCTTAACTGTTGAGAAGTGAATCGAATGGGTTTTTCTCTTTCCATGTCATCCAGAAATTTAACCATAGTCAGGGGAATAAAACGGGAGTCGTTACTGAATTGCTCCGTTTGCGTCTTAGATCGTTTATTGCATACATATACAATGATGGCTATCTTCACCACAACAACTGCAAACAGAAACTATCAACAGCTGGATTGTTTAATAGAACTGTGCTACTAAGAGAATGGAAGTACTTACCGACGACAGAAAGGGTAACACTAATAGCCGCGATCTCACCAGTATCATCACTTGACATAATGTCGGAAGATTAGAAACGAAAGTATTTCAAGAAACTATACAGAACCAGAGAGTTGTTTACATGGTGGTTTAGATAAGATACGTGTTTAATTTATGGATTTTTTTTATTTCTTTGACACTGAGAATATACTCCATACTATTGAAGAATATCATGTTGAAGTAGTAATTGGTGTTTAAGAATTTGTACATTCCAGTCAGTTTAAACTCTTTAGAACTTGGTGGAGTTCTCAACAATCGGCGACAATTAATGCCAACCGCAGGGAAAACGACGTTCAATGTTTACTCTACGAAATTTCGTTAACGTTGTCGCAGTCTAATTTTTGTGTGGTGATTGGTTAAAACGTGTTCAGTCACATTATTCTTGTAGTAAGAGTTTTCCAATAAAGATGATAACCGTGTTTACCAAGTCAAATGAGAAAGCTATATATATATATATGACAAACACAAGAAATGAAGAGTAGCTTTCGAAGAGGAAATTTCATGGGAAAGTTGATGGTGGATGGATTGTCCATTGGATATTTTAAATCCATATTATTTTTTTTATATATACCCTTGTAGGATAATATAAACATTTTGAAAACCCACAATAATATATATATATATATATATATATATATATATATATATATATATATATATATATATATATATATATATATATATATATATATATATATATTTGAGATTTACATGAAAGTGGAGAGTATGACAATGAAAGGAATCATTTGTAATACTCCTTATTCCAATTTGAACATCGCGTGTGAGTGAGGGGTTAAATCTTCATCGTTTTTGGAATTTAAGTACAGAAAGTGAAATCATATATGACCTTGAGAATAAACTATTCTATAATGGTACGTAACACATAAGAGATGGGTTAAATCTTCATCCCAATGGTCACACGGATTTTAATACCTAAGAGAATAAGTGACTATAGTCTATATATGTCTATTCATTTAAACGATGTGTAACACCGTAAATTTCAAAACAAATTTTTAAATTTTCTTATAAAACATAATTCGATTAACATTCATCAGACAACCATATACATTATCCAATATAGGTCAATACAAAATCCCAATATCACAATGTAAAAACTCCGAGTGTGTGTGTGTGTACGGATCAAGCCGGCGCCTTCCCGCGGTCATCACTAGTACCTGAAACAATAACATCAAACACTGTAAGGACAAAGCTTAGTGAGTTCCCCAAAATACCACGTTTAACACATAATAGCCACTCGAGGCTATAACTCTGTGGGTCCGTGCACCCAAACTCTGTGAACCCTCAGGTTCTAACTCTGATAAACATGCACCACATAAATCACATAGAATAATGCAGTACAACACATAACATACATAGCATACAAATACTCTATCACATAACTCTGGTTACCTACTCAAGGTAAAGTATAGTGAGAAGACTCACCTCGCGTATCTCGGTATCTCACGAATCCTGGAAATCCCTCGTGCTCGATCCTCCGAGCTCTAATCCTCCTATAACATTATATGTCTCTAATTAACACTTTATATCTCTAAGGTTGACTATCCCTAAGAAGTCAACACAAGTCAACTCTGGTCAACGGTCAACTTTGACCGGACTCGGCGAGTGCTACGGCGAGTCTAGACGTTTTCACCAACCCTCTGAAATTCCCTTACTACACGTCGAGTATTCCCCCCTTACTCGACGAGTTTCACCTGGAAGAATCGCGGGGCCACCCCGACTCAACTCACCGAGTCTCAAGAACAACTCGGCGAGTCCCAGTTTGACTCAGTCCACTCGTCATCCCTCTCCAACTCACCCTGACTCACTGAGTCTACCCATGACTCGATTGGACCACTCACTGAGCAATCCCAAGGCAATCTTCAAACTACTCGCCGAGTCTGATGAACAGACTCGGCGAGTCCATGCCATGCAACCACTCCAACTTGCTTCTAAGGTCAGATCTGCTTCCACAATCTATAGATCTGGCCTCCCTAGACTGATTCATCACGTAAAGCTTCTATCTTGGTGCCCATAACACACCCCATGGCTCATAAATGGAGTTTTGACCTAAGGCATGAGGATTCCAATCCAAAGCCTCCATTGATTCCCAAAAAGCTTGGGTAAAGGGACACTCTGGACCTCTAAGGGTCCAGATCTATGGTTCAAACCTCATAAGGGACCAAGAGGACACTAGATCTTGCCATAAAAGGGTTCAACAAACCCTAAATCTAGATAAACAACAACAAGGAAGAAGATAACTCGAAATTATTACCACAATAGTGATGCTCTGGACTCCAAACCCTCAGAAGTGGCTCCACTTGCTTTCCCTTGGCTAGTCTTCTCCTTCCTTGCAACAATGACACCTCCAAGATCAATAATGGCCTCCTACTTAGCTCCAAATGCTCACACTCGATTAGGGTTTCACTCAAGGGACTGGTGAGCACAAATGACGGCCATTAGGCCCTTTAAATAGGTCTCAAACCCGAGAAATTAGGGTTTCATTACACAGCGCTGACTCGCCGAGTCCATATCCTGGACTCGCCGAGTCCAGGCGCGATCCCGCGACCAGATCCGCGTCCCTACTCGGCGAGTCTGAGCTCCAACTCGCCGAGTCCCCTCTCAAATCACCAAAAACACAAATATACAAGATACCTGAAAAATCCGGCTGTTACAACTCTCCCCCACTAGGACTAGACTTCGCCCTCGAAGTCTCGCTCTAAAAACAGCTCCGGATGCTGCTCCTGCATCATACGCTCTGGCTCCCAGGTCATCTCTGATCCCCTCCGGTGTTGCCACTGAACCAACACCAGAGGTACCTCCTTATTTCTCAGAACCTTGATCTTCCGATCCCTGATGGCCACTGGTCTCTCGGCATAATTCAGGCTTGCATCCACCTGAATATCCTCTAACGGAACCACTGCCGATTCATCGGCTATACACTTCCTCAACTGCGACACATGAAAAGTGTCGTGAATCTGTCCCAACTCTGCTGGCAACTCCAACCGATAGGCTACCCGGCCTACCCTCGCAATCACACGAAATGGACCTATAAACCGGGGCCCCAACTTGCCCCTCTTCCTGAACCGAATCACTCCTTTCCAAGGAGAAACCTTCAGGAGAACGAAGTCGCCGACCTGAAATTCAAGCTCGGACCGGCGCCTGTCCGCATAACTCTTTTGTCGGCTCTGGGCGGTCAATAACCTCTGTCTGACCCGCTGTATCTGCTCTGTCGTCTGAATCACGATCTCTGTACTGCCCATCACTCTCTGCCCAACCTCACCCCAACAAATGGGAGTCCGACACCTCCTACCATACAACAGCTCAAAGGGCGGCATACCGATGCTCGAATGATGGCTGTTATTGTAGGAAAACTCCGCCAAGGGTAAATACGTATCCCAGCTACCCCCAAAATCCAATACACATGCTCGAAGCATGTCCTCAAGCGTCTGAATCGTCCGCTCACTCTGGCCGTCTGTCTGGGGATGATATGCGGTACTAAAATGCAGTTTAGTACCCAACTCCTCATGAAATTTCTTCCAGAATCGGGAAGTGAAACGCACATCACGGTCCGAAACAATCGAGATCGGCACCCCATGCCGAGATACCACTTCTCTCACATAAACCTCCGCCAACTTCTCCGCCGAAGAACTCTCACTGATGGCAAGAAAGTGAGCGCTCTTCGTCAACCTATCCACAATCACCCAAATTGCATCAACTCCTCTGGCAGTCCTCGGCAATTTGGTGATGAAATCCATAGTGATCTGTTCCCACTTCCACTCGGGAACCTCCAATGGCTGTAACTTGCCATGCGGTCTCTGGTGCTCGGCCTTAACCCTTCGACAGGTCAAACACCTCTCGACAAACCATGCGACGTCCCTCTTCATACAAGGCCACCAATACTCTTTCCTCAAATCCAAATACATTTTCGTAGCCCCGGGATGGATCGAAAATTTCGATCTATGAGCTTCCTCCATCAATGTAGTACGCGTACCGCCCACAAACGGTACCCAAATCCGGCCCTGAAAAGTCATAAGCCCTCGACTATCCGAAACGAACTCTGAAACCAAACCAACGACCCGTTCTCTCTTCTGCATCTCCGGATGCACAGCCTCGGCCTGTGCCCCACGAATGGCGTCCAGAACTGGAGCTATCACGGTCAATCTCAAACATACATTTCGCAGTGGAGTACTCTCCGCCCTGCGGCTCAACGCGTCAGCTACCACATTAGCCTTGCCCGGGTGGTACAGGATCTCACAATCATAATCCTTGACCACATCTAACCACCTCCTCTGCCGCATATTTAGGTTAGGCTGATCCATCAAGTACTTCAAGCTCTTATGGTCCGTGTATATCGTACAACGAACCCCATACAAGTAGTGACGCCAAATCTTGAGGGCGAACACCACTGCCCCCAACTCTAGATCATGTGTGGGATATCTCGTCTCATGAGGCTTCAACTGCCTCGATGCATATGCTATCACATGTCCCTTCTGCATCAGCACCGCTCCCAGCCCTAAAATCGATGCATCACAAATACCACAAAATCTTCCATCCCTTCCGGAAGAGCTAATACCGGAGCTTCGCACAACCTTTGGCGAAGCGTCTCAAAGGAGGTCTGCTGCTCGGGACCCCATAAAAATGTAACACCCTTCCGGGTCAATCTGGTGAGTGGCACTGCGATCTTGGAGAAATCCTTGATAAACCTCCGATAGTACCCTGCCAACCCAAGGAAGCTCCTGATCTCAGAGGGTGACTTTGGCACCTCCCAACTCATCACCGCATCAACCTTGGCCGGATCGACCAATATCCCTTTCTGATTAACGAGGTGCCCCAGAAACTGGACCTCCCGCAACCAGAAATCGCACTTGGAAAACTTTGCATAAAGTTTCTCCGATCTCAAAACCCAAGAACTTCCCTCAAATGCTCCTCATGCTGCTCTCTAGATCTCGAATATACCAGAATATCATCGATGAATACAATCACCGACCGATCCAACATCGGCCTGCATACCCTGTTCATGAGGTCCATGAACACAGCCGGGGCATTGGTG